CCCATCAGAGCAGAGCCATGCCTTCTTCCTCTGCCTCTGCCGCCACCTCCTCTTCAGCAAGTGGGCAGCCCGGGCCGGCTCTATCCACGCCATCTCCAGCACCACGCCCCATGCTGCCAACACCAGGGGCTACGAAAGCAGAGCTTGGATGAAGGCGGGGAGCGAGCAGGAGGAAGTCTCCGCATTTTCCTTCCCCTGCACACAGGGCTACCGCCTCTGCCAGAGGCAGACAACCACCTTTCATAACCACTTACCCGCTCCTGAGTAAGGCTAGCGTCAGCGGCCAGTGAGGGCTGGGCCACACAAACGTGGGCCAGGAGGGCAAGCTGGAGCTTCAGCCAAGGATGTGCGCAGGGGTGGTAGAAGAAGCAGACATCCTCGGCCTAGAGAAAAAAGCATGGAGACACCACTCCAGGCCCAGGGCACTCTGAGAATCCCAAGGTCTCCCATCCTGGGGGCCAGCTTAAAGGGATCCTGGGGGTGGCCAGATGACCCACCTACAGGGTTCAGGAAAGGACAAAGAGCCCTGGGTGCTGGCAAGCATTCCCTCCCGCCTCTGAGTGTTCCTCTCACCCCTCCTCCCCATCAGGTGCCACCCCTCGAAGCTCACAGCTTCCCTGACAGCAAGCCTGGTTAACGCTGTCAGGCCCCACCGTTTAGCTGTTATTCCTCTGCGCCTGCAACAATGGCTCCACAGGTCCCCGGTCTAGACTAGAAGCATCCCCCACATGGAGACCAGGTCTTCTATTTATTGATTCTATCTATATATTCAATCTCCCCGCCAAACATCCAAATACAGGACACTCAGGCAACAGGTGCATGACCCCACGACAGAAACACTTCAACTACTATTAATTATTCTTTGATTGAGCTGGCCTGACGCTCAGATGTTATAGGAGATGCCAAAAGATAACTCCTGGACTCGCAGGGAACGTAAAGGAAACTCAGGGCAACAGAACCAATGCAAATTGAAAGAGCAAGCTAATAAAACTCAGAGTAGTGGCTCAGTTATAAGAGCTAAGTGGTAAGCATTACATGAATTTGGAAAAGGTGATGAATAAGGGCTGGCGTGATCGGGCATGTTCTCGAGAAAGCTGACTCTTGCACTGGGCTTTGGAGGTGGATGGGATGAATGGCAGGAGGGCTGGGCGCTACCCACTTCAGCTTCAGGTGAGGAGAGGCTGGTGTGGAGAACAAGCAGCAGCAAAGGTAGAGCAGTGGGACTGAGGCTGGAACTCACGTGTGGTGAGCAAACCAACACAAATGGAGAGGGAACCAAAGATCTGGGGATGTCAGATGAGGCTTATTTAGGCAGGGCCCGAAAAGCTGGGGGTGGCAGGTGGGGAGAGGCATGAGAAAAAAAAGCTACTGAAGTTTCTGAACAGTGGAATGATTTAATGAAAGGGTGTTTGAGGGAAGGAATCAGGTAGGTGGCATGAGGTTTCTTGGCCTAGAGCTCTTACAAGGTTCAAAAAAGAGTTAGATGTGGGGCACCTGAGTGGCTCAGTCATTAAGTGTCTGCCTTTGGCTCAGGTCATGATCCCAGGATTCTGGGATCGAGCCCCATTATCAGGCTCCTTGCTTGGTGGAAGGCCTGCTTCTCTCTCTCCCACTCCCCCTCCTTGTGTTCCCTCTCGCTGTCAAATAAATCTTAAAAATAAATAAATAAAAATTAAAGATGTTTCAAAAGGAAAAACCAAAGGGTCAGGGAAGCTATCTGACCACTGTCAATGAAAACAGAGGTGGCCATGCAAGATGAACCCAGGTTTTGGTGCCTGGTAACCCTGGGCGCACACATACAGCTTCCTACTGCCCCCAAGTACCATCACACACAATTCATTTAGGCCTCGGGAGTAAAGACATTACTCACATCCCCTCTTAAGAAAACTGGGTCCCAGAGGCACCTGAGTGGCTCAGTGGGTTAAGCCTCTGTCTTCTGCTCAAGTCATGACCTCAGAGTCCTGGGATCAAGCCCCCCCTCGGAGGGGGGGGTGTCTCTGCTCAGTGGGGAGCCTGCTTCTCCCTCTCTGCCTGCCTCTCTCTGCCTACTTGTAAGCTCTGTCAAATAAAATCTTAAAGAAAAAGAAAGGAAAGAAAGAAAGAAAACGGGCCCAGAGAAGTCAGGAGAGTTCCCACAGTCACACAGAAGAGTGGGGGCATGGATCGTTTCTTTTTGGTCAGAGTTCCCCTTGCAGCCTCCTGCCGAGGGGCAGACAGCTAGGTAGCTACTCGACAGCATTCCTGACACAGCACTGACAGGGCAGAGGCCCACGGTTCCCTGTCCAGGGACTGAGAACACGGTCTCGGTGGGGAATGGAGCTGGAAAGCAGAAAACGCGGATCAAGCCTGCAAGGAGCTCACAGTCTCCTACCAAGGAGGGCTCCCGCCTGTACGTACCTGCCATCGGCTCCTCCTCGTGTAAGTCACTCTCGGTGACACCTGTGCACGGAGGGGAAAGAGGACTTATAGCAGCTGTGGGACTCCGTGCGGGGGAGGGAAAGGGACAGCAGGCCCCATACCGCCGGCTGGGAGGGAGACATTGGCAACTGACGGCCAGAGGAACTGGCAGAGGTCCTCAGAGGATGACTGTGGAGGGCGCAGCCCCGCCAGAGCGGGGCCGGGTTGCTCCTCCGCACCCCTCTCTCCCACCCCACCATCAGGCTCCTACCTGTGGCGGCAGAGGCCACAGGCCCTCGGGACAACGGGCTCCCACTTCCTCCTCCGGCTCGGCCACCACCTGTAGGTCCAAGGCCCAGAAGAGCTGGGGCACTGGGCTTGGCGTGGGCCCTGCCCTCCCCTCCCAGGCCCAGCCCGCCGTGGGGGGGGGGGGTTACTCTTAGTCCCCTCCACGCGCCCCTCCTTCCAGGACGAACTTTCGGCAAAGCGCTTTGGGATCCCAGGCCGAAGCCTGCTCGGGAGCGCGTCGCCTTACCTCACTAGGACCTAGGAGCCCCGCAAGGGCTGCCAGGAGAAGCAGCTGGGGGGAAGGCGGAGGAGGCGCCATCCCCGCCAGCCCGGGAAGCTAGCGGCCGCCGGGCAAGCCAGGGAGCGCGCGCCCCTGCGTCGCCCCCCGTACCGCCCCTATGCCCACGTAGAACCCGGGCGCGCGCGCTCGTCGTCTCGCCCTCGCCCCCCCCCCCCCCCCCCGGCCGCGCGCCCCGACGCTCCAGGCTCGCGCGCCCCCCGCCTCGCCCCGCCCCCGCAGCTGCGAGCTACTCTCGCCCCGCCTCCGCCCCGCCAAGGCCCGCCCACAACCGCGGACTTGGCGCGCACGCGCCCTAAACTCGAAGCCGGAAAAGTTTTGTGTAGGTTCCCCGGCCTGAGTGGACTGTGCTGCCAGACCCGCGGGGAATCCCTCCTTCGCCCGCGCTTTCGTCCCATCGCGTCTCCGCGGCCTGCAGCCTGGGTGGGATCATGGAGCTGGGCGAAGGGCGGGAAATGGGATCCCAGTGAAGCGAGTGGCTCCGGAGGTACGCTCCTCCCGCAAACCCGCTTCAGACACGTCAGTATGACCTGCAACTAGAAGAGGGGCAGAATCAAGAAGTCCGAGCTGCGAGAGGAAGAGAGTCCCCGCTCTAGAGCTTCACCTTCAGTCCATCCCACCCGTGCCCTCGCAAAGAGGGCCCGAACCTAGCCAGAGGAGCTTCGGAGGGTCTCGGGCCTCTACCCTCCCCAGTCCCAGAAGTCCCAAGAAGCCGAAGCCGGGCCTGGGGCCGCTTTGCTCCCCCACGCCCGCCTCCGCTCTTGTCTTCGTTTGTTCAGCGATGGCCGGCGTGTGCTTAGGAAGACATTTGTCACCGTGAGGTGGAAGACGCAGGGGGGAGAAGGGAGAGCCGGCTCGGCTACCCTCTTCCCAGAGCCCTTCACCTTGGCCTGGCTGAGGATTGAGGAAAAACGGGAACTTGGGTGGAGGGTGAAGGTTGAGATGCCCAGCCTCAAACTTCGAAGTAGAGCAAAAACGGGTTATTTCGAAATAAAGAAAGAACGTGACTTACAAGAGGGTTATTTACCCATCCCTCCCTCGTTCCCCTGTAATTGCCAGCTACTGAAATGATGAAGGGACTGCAACCCACCCCCTGCCACGGCCCCATCGCAGACTGACAGGCATCCCCGAGCAGGACGTCTGAATGCATCTTTTCCCCCAGCTTGGTGCTGCTGCTTCTGGGGAAGCCCTGCTCAGGGAGCGGTGTTGAGGATTTCCATTAACTGCAGCCAGGCTCCTGGGAGCCCCATGCTCCCGGGGTGTTGGCGTTGGGGGGGGAGGCGGTGTCGGGACGGCGCGCTAATGCAGCGCCGGCATCAAATCCGCGGTCGGACGGGACGCCGGCCCAACCCCCGCTGGCCCCGAGCCGGACCCCCCGCCCGGCGGGGCTCTAGTGTAGTTGAGGGCGCCCGCAGGGCCGAGACAAACACCGAGGTCAGAGAGCACGTCCGAGCCTGCGAAGGGAGGAGCGGCTACTTGCTCCGGCTGCAGCTGCAGCGGCCCCGCGGGAGCCAGAGAGCCAGCGCCCGGTGCTGGGGTTTATTCACTTCTTCCTTTTGCTACTTCTCAGCTGCGGCCCCTGAGGGCGCAGCGACTCATCGTCTCCCCCCAGCAGCTACACACTAAGCGGGGCCGACGGGAGGGGTCGTGGGGGGGTCTCTGATGCTTATCCCGTGCCCCGATCCTCGGTCTCCGAGTGTCCCCACTCTCTGCCGCCAACACCCAACTCCTCGGCTCGCTGCCCTCCCCACTCCCTTCCGGCTCGCCCGCGCGTCCTGGCTCCCTTTTTGTGGCCTAGGCTCCTTTCACCTTCTGCTCCAGCTTGTCGCAATCTCTGTACAAAGGGCCTGGGGCGGGATTGGGGGCGGGCGAGGGGAGCCGGGCCCGAACTGGCTGCCTCTGCGGGGCCATGGCCAATCCGGAGCGCCCACCGCCCACCCCCACCCCCGCGCAGGAGAGCCCTGGGCAGCCGCCCGCGGCCGGGCGGAGTCGCCCGCAGAGTGGGGAGCTCGCCGAGGGGACGGCCCCGCCGCCTGCCGCCCTCCAGCCGCCGGGGGCTCTGCTACCTCGCCATGCCGCCGTGGGACGCCGCCCTCGCCCTGCTGGTGGCCGCGCTCGCCCTGCTTGGCCTGCTGGCCCCGCGGCTGCGGCGCGCCGTCGGAGCGAGGACTGTGCTGGCGGCCCGCGGCCAGGACCACGAGGAGGAGACGGGCGGCGGAGGTGCCGCAGACCAGTTCAGCGACGGGCGGGAGCCACTGCCCGGCGGGTGCAGGCTCATCTGTAAACCGTCGGCGCTGGCTCAGTGCCTGCTGAGCGCCTTGCGACGCTCGGCAGCGCTGGAGCCGCGCCCGCGCTCCTGGCTCTGCGGGCCCCACCTGCAGACCCTCTGCCACTTCGTACTGCCCGTGGGGCCGGGGCCTGAGCTGGCCCGGGAGTACCTGCAGTTAGCGGACGACGGGCTGGTGGCCCTGGACTGGGTCGTGGGACCTTGTCCCCGGGGCCGGCGGGTCACCAACGCGGGGGGCCATCCCGCGGTGTTGCTGGTAATCCCCAATGCGTGGGGGCGCCTCACTCGCAACGTGCTCGGCCTCTGCCTGCTCGCCCTGGAGCGCGGCTATTACCCGGTCATCTTCCACCGCCGCGGCCACCACGGCTGCCCGCTGGTCAGCCCCCGGCTGCAGCCTTTCGGGGACCCGTCCGACCTCAAGGAGGCTGTCACTTACATCCGCTTCCGACACCCGGCGGCCCCTCTGTTCGCGGTGAGCGAGGGCTCGGGCTCCGCGCTCCTGCTGTCCTACCTGGGCGAGTGCGGCTCGTCCAGCTATGTGACCGGCGCCGCCTGCATCTCGCCGGTGCTGCGCTGCCGCGAGTGGTTTGAGGCCGGCCTGCCCTGGCCCTACGAGCGGGGCTTCCTGCTCCTCCAGAAGATGGCCCTCAGCAGGTGGGTGACAGAGGCCGCAGACCCGCAAGGAAGAGGGGGGCGTAGGGGTCTTGGGCTGACGAAGAAACAGCCCTGCCTGGTAGCGAATCACATAGGTTTAGGGCAATTTGGGCAGGGCTCTCCGCACACACTTTCCGAAGCTTTCCAAACCCACTAGACAGAACCAGGGAAACAGGTTTAAAGGCCATGGGCGGACTCAGCATCATTAGGGTAGAACATTATGGGGCCCCATGGCCTCGTGTTAGCCCCAGGGTGTCCTAGCAACTGAGCACCTACCTCCCCCACCTGTAAGCCGAGGCAGCGGCACACGTTTACCACTTAACCCACAGCTTGTCGAATCACCAAAGAGGGTTCTGGAAGCAATTAGGACTGATTGTCTGCCCGGAATGTTTCCTTATTAGTCTTATTAGTCTGTGCCTAGAGGTGACAGGAATCAGAAATTTGGTGGTATGTGATTTATTAACATTCTCTGGATTTGCATATTCCTTGATATGGATCCAAAAATGTAAAGAATATGTCAACATACTTTTTAAAAAATCTCCAAAAGGAGAGCAGTCCACCCCTAGAGTGACAGGTGAGGCTTTGGCACTGAAGAGGCCAAGCGACATTCCCACAGCGAATGACCAGGACTCAGCTTGCACTGCTGCCTTCCTAGGAGGTGGCAAAATGGGGTCAAAGACATTCAAGCAGAAAGTGTGGTGTGGCAGAAAGACCTGGGATGTGCAGGCAGGCTCACTTCAGTTCAAATCCTAACACTGGGTAGGTGCTCAAAAAGTGATAGCAATGGTAATTTCTCTTCCTCTCCTTGCCCTGTTTTGTTCTGAGGAGGCCAAACCCTGAGCTCAACAATGGCCCCAGGAGCTGTCATGGCGGCCCAGAACTTCTGGGCCTCCGAGGCAAGGTGTTCTCCTTTGGCTTGATTGCCAGTTTCCATTCCCAAATAACCTCGGCCCTCCCCCTGCCCCACCCAGTGCTGACTCGGGGCACCTGCTGGAGGATAAGGGGAGGGAAGCGGAGAGGAAATCTGGGCCTTTAGCATCTGCCCTGCCTATAGAAGTTCGGGATGGAAAACTCAGGGCAAGCCTCTTTGGATGTTTGCTGGAGACACACATCCAGATTCAACTGGCTAAGTCTGGATTGATATGCCCAAAGCACTGAGCTGCCCATCCCGGCCTCCGAGTCAGGGTGCCAGGCTCTCTCCACGGAGGTGGAAACAGCAGAAATGCCCCTCTTCCCCAGAGCAGTGGCTCTCAGGCTCCCATGTGGGAACTTACCCTGTAAAGTAATTATACACCTGGCCACTTCCTCAGCCCTTTCTAGGAATACCTGTACCACTGCTCAAGGTTTGCCTTTATCTGGACAGCATGTTAGCTTGTAAAAACTAGACTAATATAACCTGAAGAAAGATGTTAACAGTGGAAGGGGGGTGTCACCTGCTGGTTTGGATAGTTTGAGCCAGGGGGTTCTAGCAGGGCTTCAGGAGATGACGGTTCAGAGCAGGTAGCCTACAGAGGGTCAGGAGTTGAGGTCAGGAGGAGAGCTGTCACAGTGGATCAGCTGCTGTGAAGTCACTTGCTGCCCCCAGGGTGAGGCAGGCTAATGCCATGAATGCAGGCCTGGTAGGAACTGTGACACAGCACGAGGGAAGAAATGCCCTGAATGCCTGCCCATGTTGCCAGACCTTTCCCTTTCCTTAGAGAACCCAAATATCTGCACTTTATGTGACATCTCCAGGTTTTCAATGATGACAGTGGGGCACCGGGCCTGCTCAGTCTGAAGAGCATGTGACTCTTTATCTTAGGGTTGTGAGTTCAAGCCCTGCACTGGGCATAGAGTTCACTTAATAAAATCTTTAAATGATGACAGTGAAACGGAAGTTTAAAAAAGTGTCATACGGCCAAAGGATGTCTCTGGGGCCAGAATCTGGCCTGTGGCCTGCCCCTCTGGCACGCCTGTTGTCAGTTCATTTCCTCATGCTTCCCTCTCTTTCCTACCCTCCCTGCCCCTCATCATGCTGCCAGGTATGCCTCGGCTCTGCAGGACGCCGTGGACACCCACAAGCTGTTCAGGAGCCGCTCCCTTCGAGAGTTTGAGGAGGCCCTGTTCTGCCACACCAAGAGTTTCCCCATCAGCTGGGACACCTACTGGGACCACAACGATCCCCTCCGGGATGTGGATGAGGCCGCGGTGCCTGTGTTGTGTATCTCCAGTGCCGACGACCCCGTGTGCGGGCCCCCGGAACACTTTCTGCCCGCGGAACTCTTTCACAGCAACCCCTATTTTTTCCTCCTGCTCAGTCACCATGGAGGCCACTGCGGCTTCCTGCGCCAGGAGCCCTTGCCAGCCTGGAGCCACGAGGTCACCTTGGAGTACTTCCGGGCCTTGACTGAGTTCTTCAGAACGGAAGAGAGGATGAAAGGGCTGAGCAGGCACCGGGCTTCATTCCTGGGGGGCCGGCGTCGCTGGGGGACCCTGCAGAAGAGAGAGGCCTCTCCCTCTTCCAGTCTGGAGGAGATCTTTAGCTGGAAGCGATCATACACGAGGTGAGGGCCTGCCTGAGAACAGAGCTGGGCATGCAGAGTCCTGAACCAGCCGTGAGGACAGAAGGGGGGGCTGCACTCCGGAGCCTTTGTGGCTGATTCGGCCCCCTCTCTTCGACTGGTCTGTGGAAGAAGGACCTTCCAGCAAGCTGGTGCTCACTTTACCCTGAGAACACTCCTGCCCCAAGGTTTGCTCAACACATTCCAGCTCTTCCTGGCCCGCAGCTGGGCTGTCACTGTCTTGCTGTCCCGTCACCGACCTCATGAGCCAAAGAAGAGCCCCTTTGAGTCTATGGACTCTTGAGAAAATGCTCTGTGACTAGCAAGGGCTCTAGAAAGAGTGGGTGTATGTGCGTCATTGGAAAGCTCTGTCTCACATAAATCACCAGCTCTCTGACCCTGATTCTTGAGCCGGAGCCACTCAGTGTCATGAGGACAGGATGTTTGTGTCTCAGTACCACTTCCCTCCTTTGGTTCTGTGGCTGCGGCGCTCTGCTGACTTCAGAGCCGTAGGGCTGCGTCAGTCTTTCGTGAGTGTGGGAAAGGCGGCCGAGGCAGCAAGTGCTGTGCTGAGACTGGGCTGGTGCGGACGACGAGGTACGGAGAGCATGTGTGTCATCTGGAAGGCTGAGGTCCCGTCTTCCAGACGAGTCCTGCAGGTCTCTGTTGGGCTGATCTGGGCCTTCAGGCTAGGACTTCAAGCCTAGGGAGATCTTCAGGATGATTTTAGGAAGAGGGAGTCCTCGAACACAGGGCCTGCCAGCCTCTCAGGCACGCTGGCTGCTCCCTCCAGCACCATTCCTGGGGATTACTCCAGAAAGTCCCAGCCAGAGGTGTTTTTCTCCTGCGATGCGGGCTTCTTCTAGGTGGTGAAGAGTATAAACCTGCTATCTTGGGTGTTTTCTGGTTCGTTGCCTTCTTTTCTGACACTACTACCAGCCTCTTCCCTTCCAGGGCCTGGAGAGACATCTGGGACCAGAGAAAACAAAAGTTCCAAGAGGTTGGCTAGCGCTTACTCAGTGATTTACGAATATTTCACATTACCACGCTTTTTCTGCTCCATTTATTCAAAAGGCCATCTGTGTCGATGTAGAAAAGCTTCTTCCTGGAGCTGGCCCCTCACTGGCGGGTTTTATGGTGTTTGGTTTTATGAGGAATAATCCTGAAGATCAGAGTAAAGCAAAACATGCTACAGATTGATCCCCACATCCTGGTTTAAATTAGGCCATTAAACAATATCATAGGACATCTAGTTTTATGTGTGGCTATGAACTTTGCCCCGAAGTTTTATTTTAATTTGTTATCAAGAAAGAAGACACCTATTTTGACAGGAAGCCCCCTCCTGGCCTCAAGACAGCAAACCAATTTTAAAGAGGAGAGAGGTTTATCAAAAGCCCCGTCCTATGGCTCAGTATGAGGAATTCCAGGGATCATAATTTCAGATTTGGATCATCTTAGTCCAGCTGTGTTCTAGATCAAATTGGAAGAAACTCTGAACTATCCTAAAATCTCACCTGAGGTGCAGAGGACACTCAGTTATATCTGAGGCACATTATCCTGTCATGAAAAAAATCACTTCCCTCCTTCATTTCTTGCTCCCCTCCTCCACGTTCTCCATCTGATAGTCTTTCACCCTTTCTGAGCAGAAGTAACGAGGAACTGAAATCTAAAGCCATTCCGCTGCTCCTTTACAGCCCCTGTAGAGGGCTTGCTGAGGAAGAATTCCTTACATCTGGCCACCACCCCCCTCCCCAGCATCTGGTATAGTAAGGATTTCAGTTAATTAGGGTGCTGCAGCTGCCCCACCCCCCATGCAGGACCCCAGGATCATTCAGAACTGACTGCAAAATGGAGAGCAGCCCAGTAGGTTTTAACCTGTTGGGGCTTATGGGGCCCCAAGGGCTGAGCTCTGGATTGTTCTTCTAGGCCAGATACCATGGGACTCTGGTTTTTTAAGGTAATAGCTTTTGGAGAAATTGTGGTTGGTTTTCTTTTCCTTTTTTATAAGAAAGCAAGCCTGGAGGGGTGGGGTGTGGGTATGTACACGTAACATTTTTCTTTCAGTGACAGCCCCAGCTTCATTCATTGCCTTGGACCCACAGCCCTAGTACCTAGACCCTAAGGTATTTCTCCTCTGTGTCCCCTGCACCCCCTGTGCTTATAACCTGTCTCAGGAAGCCACTTCTTTCTCATCTTTCCATTATTGCTTTTTCAGGAAAATTTGTCAAGAATGTGCAGTTCCTGTTCAAGTAGGTTTGGGTGACCCTGACTTTCAGTCTAACTGAAGGAATCGCCCATATTCACTCAGCTTTGGTGAACAGCTGATCAGACAAAACCAGTGGGAAGAACCCCAGGCACACTATTCTGAGACAATATGTGACCTTTGAACAAAATCCTAAGTTATGCGTTTGAGGAAACAAGAAACAAACAACAAAATAAAACTAAGACCACCCAAAGAAGTACCACTGAGTTGGTTTTCCAGGTCTCTTAAGAGCCTTAAGCGATCCTCACAGGCTTCATTCACTTGCTTGCCTTCCTTTGGGTCTCTTCAGTATTTCTAACCACCTTCAAGTCTTAAGAGACAAAAGCAGCCCCAGCCCCCAAAACACAATGGCTTGGAGGAGGTATGATGGAGTCCTCGGTCTCCCCCCACTGGATCAGAATGCAGGAAGCAAAGGACTGCCTCTGAAGGCTTCTGATCTCTAAGACCTAACACTGTGCTTGCTATAACTTCATTCTCCTAAGAGAGTATTTTATGTTCTTTATACATAGGTTTCTAGGGTGGCTTGGCCAGAGACGACAGTATGCAGAATGAAGCCCCAAATCCTCACTTTGAGGAGATACCATCTCTGTTTCGAGTGAAGGTATCCTTCCTACGACTTGAGTACTGTTAAAAAAAAAAAAAAAAAAAAAAGGCCTTGACACAGGAAGTATCAGTTTGGCTTTATACCTCAAAATTACCCCAGAGTCAGAAGCTCCTCTCTACTTATTTTCCAGCCAGACTGCAGATCTTCTGTCAGTCAGCCATCCCTGGTAATGCCCAGGTATCTTCCTTTAGAAATGAACTTTAGCATGAATTCCTCTCCCTGCTTAAATAAGCAGATACAATTGGCCACTTGGGTAGAATTTGGTAACAATGCCAATGAGTATTTGTGATTCTTTCACAACCCACAAAGGATGGCATCAGAAATCTTCCCTAGTTCTCATCACTGGCAGAGACAAGATTGAGAAGTTATACACAGGGAGTGCCTGGAGACGGAGTGAACACCTCAGGAAGCAGGAATTCCCACATCACTGGTGGGACACGCAAGCTAGACTACTGTTTGGCACACATCATGGTGTGGACGTATGCCAGGAAATAAGGGTGTCCTAAATGAGTTTTTTCTTTTATTTTTTCAAGTAAGCTCTATGCCAAGAGTCACATACTCTCCTGACTGAGCCAGCCAGGCACCCCAAGGGTGGCCTAGATTAGGTAGAAGGTCTCTTCTCATTTGGGGTGAACCAAAATAATGCAGATGAGCTTGGTGTGTTGTAAAGACTTCTGGTTGGCTTGAGGATCAAGGAGATCACAGACCTGATCCAGATTCTGGGAGTTGGGAAATGACATAAGATTTTAATGAAAATTGGGCCACCCAGGCACCCCAATAAATAAAATCTTAAAAAAAAAAAAAAGATTTTAATGAGAATAACCTTGCCAAAGTGACCAGAGGATGTTTTAAAATGTCCAGGAAGAACTAAGAGTTTGAAGGAAAACTCTTAAAAGACACTACCAAAAATAAATGTCTCTAGCCCCTCCACCTCCAGCCTTCCTGTGTAATGAGGTAATACCCTAGTACTTACCACTAGTGTGGTTGAACAAAAACTTCTCTCCAACTTGTTTGCTTCTGAATAATAAATCGCAGTCTCCCTGCAACAATGGAATGTCATTATTTTTTAAATCTCCAGAAAACAAAGGCACTGTTTGTCTTCTGAAGTCCTCTGTGTACTGAGCCATACATGCTTACCTACCTGCAGAGTGAACAGAGCCTCGGTGTACATTCTCTATTCACCGGCTGTTGCTTCACTTCTGTACATCTAGCTTTGTGTCTCCCCACGCTAACCAGTGGCAGCTCTGTTTAATCAACAACCAGGCCTCCTGTTCTGGGCTAATAATTTCCCAGCAAGCTCAAAATTCCCTGATCATCAGTGGTACCCACATAGAGATATTTTCCACTGAGCAATTAGTAATTCGGGCATTGAATACAGAGTACTGAAGTAGCTTGGAGATGTGGGTTCCAGTTTCTACTTTATCTGTGACCTGTGTGTCTTTGGGAAAGTTATTTTACAAGTTGTTCCATATGAAAAGATGGAGACTATAAATAAGCCCTAATTTTTAAAAGATTATTTATTTGACACAGAGAGAGAGAGAGAGAGAGATCACAAGAGATCACAGAGAGGCAGGCAGGGAGAGGGAGAAGCAGGCTCCTCGCTGAGCAGAGAGCCCGATGGGGGGCTCGATCCCAGGACCCTGAGATCATGACCTGAGCCGAAGGCAGAGGCTTTAACCCACTGAGCCACCCAGGTGCCCTAGACCCTAATTAAAAAAAAAAAAAAAAAGATTTTAGAGAGTGAAGAGTGTGGGGTGGTAGTGGAGAGGGTATAGAGGAAGGAGAGAGACTCCCCACTGAGTGGGGAGCCCAACATGGGGCTCAATCTCAGGACCCTGAGATCATGACCCGAGCTGCAATTAAGAGGACGCTTAACCGACTGAGTCACCTAGGCATCCCAATAGGCCTTAATTTAGGATATCTGTTAGGATATAATGAAATAGTAAAAGTAGGTGAGATCCCATTCTCTAAGTCTACTTAGTTCATCAACTGGAACTCAAAGATAAGGTGGCATCTGCTTTCAGATCAAAATGTATTCTCCAATTGTTCTAAGGCCAAGAAGTTCCAGTCATTCCACTGCAAATTTGGGAAGGGCCTACATGAGCTGGGTCCTGGTTGTCCAGTTGAGGGCAGACTCGCCCCACCCCCTTTTCAAACACGTGTACACCTACACATACTCAATAACCTTGTTGTAGCTAACAGGGTTCACACTGGTTCATCTGTTCTGCTGGCCAAAACCCATTTTCCTAGTTCTTATAAATGATGGTCAGAGAAGACATGGCTTTCAAATCTCACCATTATTAGTGATGCAGCTAAAGACCAGAACCCAAACCAGTGTTGTTTATGCCATACTTTGCCTTCTCCTAATCCCATCACTGGCTGAGATGACAGTAAATAATGCCCATTTTAAACTTCATAATGTAAAGGATGGTAACAAAAAGGGAAAGAATTTGTCTTCCAAGCTACTCTAGTACTCACCTCTGTGGGGAAGCCATGCACATTAATCTAAAAATGGAAGCTGTTTATTGCATAGTCCCAACGCCCTCTTCAACTCTGTCTCCCTCTACTATTAAGAACACGTATTTGCAGACATAGTAGCAATTAAAGTCACTCTACGACACACAGAGGAAAACACTGTCCTGCAGCTGCTTCTCTGAGATGTAAGTGATAGCACGGGTTTATCACTGCTGGGGCTGTGATAAATGCTGTGGCAAACTTTTATTTCTATTCAAACTTTTTTACAGTCAGGATAGGCTTTGACCCCTAATTTAACTCCAGGCATCTTTGATGATTAAACATTTGTTTTGGGTTGTTGATAGGGGATACAGGCTTAGACGTACAAGTTTTACCATACTTTCCTTCCATGATAGTCTGAAGAGCCCAAATGTAGGGAACAAAGCTGAAAGAAATCTTGTTTCTTAAACCTTTTTTGAGTTGCTGCAAATTCAAGGTAGGATGTTGGAAAGGCTGGCGATAGGCAATGTGGGATCTAATCTCGGCTCTCTCACCTGCCTGCTTAACCCAAGCAAATTACACTACATAACATGTTAATCTCAAAATAGCTCAGTATCACCACACTAGGGAGTTAAAAAGCTATGTTAAAAAGTTAAAAGTGCTTTTCCAGAAAATATTCTATTCAATGAAACAGGCAATA